ACCGCCATCCGCTGGGCTCTGCTCTACATGGCCGCATACCCCCACATTCAGGGTAGGGTCACTGATGGGTCCTTTGTTTAACCCGAAACCAGTGACACTCAGGAAACAGAGTAATTTCCAACTCTACCATGTCAGACACGCTTGTGCCCCACGTTTCTTATCAGGAACCGCTTGGGCACAGGTCTTCTTTTTTCCTCTCTTCCTGTAGAGAAGGTGCAGCTGGAAATCGACAGGGTGGTGGGGCCGTCCCGCCCTCCCGCCATGGCTGACAAGGAGAACATGCCCTACACCAGCGCCGTGCTGAGCGAGGTCCTGCGGGTGGGCAACGTCGTGCCCCTGGGGGTGCCCAGGATGGCCACCAGTGACACCACCCTGGCTGGCTTCCACCTGCCCAAAGTACGTGGAGACCATCAGCCCTCCCATTGCCCCAGCACAGCCAGGCCTTCATGGCCCAAGTCCCAAATCATCTGGACAAGAACCAATGTGCAGGACCTTATGGAGATACCACAGTTATAAGAGAATTAAAGCCCTCTTGTTGAACACTGTAGGGCTCTAATGGGTCTCACCTACTTGTGGAGGAGAATTGTGAGATCCTACAGTGTTGGTCATAATTTTCAGTTCTACGGGTTTTATCCCTTAAGTTTTATACAAGACACCTGCCAGGCATTATGGGAGCAGAAGGCCAAGAAACAGAAGAGCAGTTTGGCTTTGTTAATTCCACAGAGTATTAAAAATAATCTATTAAAAGTGACACTTGATAAAAGCCAGGCAATAGGTGTTGATGCATATGCACTGCATTATGAAAATAAGTATGAGCTTTAGGTGTATTTAGTCTCTTCCATGTAAATGATTGGTTGCATCAAGGAAAATAAAAAATATTTTAAAATCGGGCATTTTGCTCCACATGGATTAAAATATTTTCCTTTTTCTGATGGAGGATGTGGAGATAAACCAGATTAGGTTTTTGGTTTTTTTTTTAAAAATGACAGTAAAGTGGATCAATTGACTATAATTTGGTTAAATTGCCTCAAATTCCTATGGGAACACAGTGTTATCAATGTAAACATGGTTTATATTAACATCACCAGTGACAGCAGCACAAGGTAGGGATCAACACTATCGTGATACATAGAGGAGCACAGAAGTGAACAATCCTGTAGGCTTTCACCCTCACGTAATTATAAAGCTTAGGAAAAAAACATTTTGCCCTTAAAAAAAAAAAGTAGTTCACATTATGTGTGGAACAGAGCTAATAATAAACTAGTCTGACAACACTTCAGCTCTTCTCCGTCATGTAATCAACCCGTTTTCTCCCCCTCTTGCAGGGCACCACCCTGATGACCAGCCTGACTTCGATAATGTTTGACAAAAACGTGTGGGAGACTCCAGACACCTTTAATCCTGAACATTTCCTGGAAAACGGCCAGTACAGGAGGCGGGAGGCTTTCCTGCCCTTCTCTGCAGGTGGGATGATGGATGGGGAGGTGGTTTTCCTTTTTGCAGTGCTTTTTTATTTCCCCAAGACACCCTGTCCAGAGGGTACTGCTCCTTGTCCTGCTTTTCAGTCCATTCCCACAGTGAAAATCCCAGTAACAGTTAATACTGGCTGCTCAGGGCAGGAGGGAAATCAGTTTGTTATGGCAGGATGAAAAAAATAAGGCTTCTTCCTCTTGCACAAGCTGAGTAAATGAGGGGGGGGGAGGAAGGAGGGTGTTTGCTGAGTTTTCCCCCTCTTACGTCTGTATCCGAACAGCTGTGGCAGTTTGCTCAGCAGTCAACTTCTGGGGAAGGTTTCTGCAGAATGTGTGGGTGAACATTGCCACCTAACCTTTCAAGGAAGAAAAGCTCTCGCAGCCTGTGCAGTGAGGCGCGGGTGAGCGGAGCCTGAGCAGTGGCTGAAGTTCGCTTGGGACTCGCTGGGGTTATTTTTCCTCCTTCTCCAGGCAAACGGGCTTGTCCCGGAGAGCAGCTGGCCAGGACAGAGCTCTTCATCTTCTTCACAGCCCTCCTGCAGAAGTTCACCTTCCAGGCACCGTCAGCTGCCACGCTGACCTTCGCCTTCACACTCAGCCTCACGCGCTGCCCCAAGCCCTTCCAGATCCGGGCGCTGCCCCGTGACTGAGGCTGGCCTGGGGCTGTGCCCCCTCAGCTCTCCACATGCCACAAAGTGTCTCTGCTCCCATCCACACCGCAGGTTTTTGGCTGGAAAGTCGGGCCACAGACATCTACCACCCACAAACATGCAGGTGGCAGTGGGGAAGACATGAGGGCCACATCCTGCACAGTACAACAAAGACAAGCGTTGGGGCTCTACCCTCACCTCTGTCCTGCTCCCCTCTATCAGCTGACAAAATATATTACTTTAAAAGCTTTATTATGGAATTTCCACCATTAGCCTCTCTCAGGAAGGTGTCTGCCTACTGCAAAATCGTGGGTGCAGTTGGGTCCACAGTGCCTCTTCAGAGACAGTATGTCCACCACTCAGAGACCAGTTCACGACCCTTAAATTCCAGTGCTGCATCAACCCAGATGGCCATGGGCTGTGTTTTCTGAGGTCTCCCTGGTGAGTGGGGGCAGCTGGCATTGGACATACAAGTTCTGTGTTCATGCCTCAGTGCCCATTTGGACTTCCAGGTGGCCATGGCCAATTCTGAGGTCCAGGTGACCTCAGCCTCGGCTTGATGTGCATTCCTCACACTACCATGTTACTGCTTTGCAATGGAAATAGAGACCTCTGCAGCAGAAGCATGCAGTTTTAAATCTCTTCTGTATATGGCAGTTTTAATTGGGAGGCTACAGGGTGGTAGAAGCAGCTTCTCCCATAGGCCAACTCAGGTGGACTGTCATGAGGAACCATGCCTAAAGGTCACAAATGGCTGTAAAATTCAATATTGCAGTTGTATGAGTGGAGAAAGTTTATCCAAAAAAAGGTTTGTGGCGGTAAAACACAACAGGAAAGAAAGTTGCAAAAAATAATTGCATGGGGTTGCTCAGGAGCAGTTTAGCTGAAGCCCAAAGAAAACTGAGAAGCAGCCAAGTTTGTTGGAAGGGTCATGCCTGTGGCAGCTGTCGCTGGCCCTCAGGAAGGAGGCGGCCTCGGGGAGGCTTTGTGGTGGGAAGTCACGAGCTCCCCTGTTTCCCTTCCACTTCTGGCAAGTATTTGTGGCCATGCCTGGCCATAGTGTGGGGCTGAAGAAGTGGGTCAGGACATGGCACCTTCTGTGGAGGTGCTGCCTCTGCCCAGACTGGGGTCTCTTTGGAGAAAAAGTTCATTAACTGTATGACTTCCAGGATACTTCTTTCTGTTTATGTGACCAAGCATTAATGCTTAGAAAGGCACACTCCTGTGTGCTTTTGTTAGGAATATAGTCACAGCAAAGATAATCAATTCATATATTTTTTTCTTACCACCTTGCTTGAGTGACTTTTCCGTGCGCATACACACGTAAGCTAGTGAATAGTTTACAGGAAAAGAGGATTAAATCAAGTTTCGTTTCCGTGTCCGGCAACAACCGGCTCTGCTGCGTTACAAACCAGTCGCTGTGCAGTGACAGGTTTATGCCACATGGGAGAGTCCTCTGCACATCCCATCCCTTCCCTGCCGGGCACATGGGGGTTGGTCCGTGAGCCGCCCCTGACTGATCATTTTAATCCTTCTGCATTTTTCATTGATGTTTTGCAGTTAGTGGCTCCTGTGGTATTGTTGTTTGGTATTATTTTCTCTTTCTAAAAGAGAAAAGATAAAAGATCAGTGGGCTTTTTTTCACCTGTGAAATTTTCAAAGCCATTCAGGACTGGGCACTGGCTCCTCTCCATGGTTATATTTGCTCTGCTGTGGGTCTGACCTCTGCTATGTGGATAGATCTTGGATTAATGCACTGGTTTAGCAAACACGTGTTGATTTTTTGGCTCTTCTGTTTCAGACTGGTTTTCCCTGAGGCCTCAGTGTTTCCTGTAATGTAATTCAATGTTACTTAAAAGTAACGATCCCACACAATTGGGGCGGGAGGCATGAATTTGTTGATTTTTGTGGCGCACGTTATGTGAGCTGGAATATTAACACGTGCTTCAAAATTAGCTGTAGTGTAAGTGTGTGCTCAATAACCTTCCTCAGAGCCGCTCTCCGATGGGGAACTTGGGCACCTGCTTTACCCGTGTCGGGCTCGGGGCGCGGCTGCGGCCTCAGAGGCCGAAGCAGGTGGGGGGGATGGCTGGAGGGCTTGGGGCAGGGCCAGCCCCATGGCCCGAGGAGGTTGCTCTGCTTGCACTTGTCAGGCAGAGCTCAGAGTCAAAGGCGCTTAGAAACCACCACAGCTCCGGGAAGGCTGTTTGGTTCCAGCCTGGATTCCCCGGACGCTCTGGAATCTCCTCCCCCCCGCTCCTCCGAGCGCTGGGGCAGGTTTGCGCAGCCGTGTTTGGGCTGCCCTCGCTGCTCGGGGTGGGACTCTTGGCACCAGGCAAAGCGCTTGTGCCCGGGAGGGAAGCGCCGGGAGCGGCCCCGGCCCCGTGGAGCCGCCGGAGGGAGGGGGCAGGGGAGGGCAGCGGGGGAGGAGGGCGGGGAGCCCCCCGAGCCGGGGCTGGTGGGAGCGGCGGGGCCGGGAGGGTCTCATCCCTGCAAAGCTCCTTCCCGGCCTCCAGACAGAGAGCTGGAGCACTGGGATTTGCTACGGGTTTGTTGTACGGCCGTGGGAAGCGGGACGGGAAAGTAGGAACTGAGCGTGGTTTGTTGTGTGGGTTGTTCTTTGGTTTGTCATGAGAGCAGAGGAAAGGCTTGAGTTCAATCGGGGAGTTGAATCGAACGGTCCTCACTTGAACCTGGGAAAGCAGGAGAGGGATCCGAGCTCGGGCTCCAGGCCAGCAAAAGCCACTCCTGCTGTTTTGTGTCTGTGCCCACAGCCGCACCAGCACGTCACCCCCTCTACTGTCCCTGGGGGTTTGGGGAGCTCAGCCTGCCCTGACTGGCTGCAGGACACGTTCCTGCAGAGCCCCACCATCCGGCCATGCTGCGCTTTCTCTGGGAGGGCATCTCCTTCCAGGTGCTCCTGGTCTTCCTCGTCGTCTTCCTGCTCGTCGCTGACTACATGAAGCACAGAAAGCCAAAGAACTTTCCTCCCAGCCCCCTGCGCCTCCCCTTCGTGGGGCACTTGTATCTGATGAACTTTAGAGATCCCGTGAGCTCAGTGCAGAAGGTACGAGGGTGGTGGGTGATGCATGGAAAGGGAGGGAGGGGATTGTGGCTACACAACCTTTGCAGCACAGTGAGGGGGTGAACCCAAACCCCATGGTCCATCAGGCCTCAGGGAAGCTCACCTGGGGGGACAGGCAGGAGGTTTGGTCTTGGTTGGCAGCAACATGGGGTGAAAGTTGTCCAGGTACTAGGAGGGTTCAAACATGAAGCAATCTTTGAAACAAAGGGCACAGTGTGACACCATGGGTGCAGTCACAGCTGTAGGAGCCCTGTAGGTCTAACCAGGCACAGGAAGGGCTTTTGGGAGTGGAGTGAAACAAAAGCTGGAAAAACACAGAAATGGAAAACCAAAAGTGGACAGTTCAATTAAAACCAATTCCTGATCAGTGATTCAGGAAAAGCGGAAAGAGAAAAGATCAAGGATGATTAAGGGACTGGAACATCTGTCATAGGAGGAAAGGCTAAGAGTCCTGGGGCTGTTCAGTCTTGAGAAGATTAAGAGGGGACCTTATTAATGTCTATAAATACCTGAAGGGTGGGTGTCAAGAATAAGCCATTCTCTTCTCAGTGGTGCCTTGTGATAGCACAAGGGGAAATGTCACCAAGTTACAACACAGGAAGTTCTGTCTCAACATGAGGGAATTGGAACACTGGAACAAGCTGCCCAGAGAGGTTGTGGAGTCTCCTACTAGATGTGTTCCTTCTAGATGTGTTCCCCTGTGATCTTCCCCAGGTGTTCCTGCTGCAGCAGGGGGGTTGGACTCTTCAGAGGTCCCTGCCAACCCCTATGATTCTATGACTCAATGATAAGAGCAGAGGCCGATGCTTATGCAAACGCCCTGGCTACCCTCCTGCTCTCAGCTCCCTGTATTTTCCACTTGTGCCTTTTGCCAGGGCTGTCCCTGTCTGCACAGACGCATTCATTGCAAATAAACCCCCTTTTATTTCTTTCTTCCCTCTCCCAGCTCACTGACAAATATGGGGACATTTTCAGCACGCAGATGGGCAGCATGACCTCTGTGTGTGTAAGTGGGCTGAGGCTGATTAAGGAAGTTCTTGTAAACCAAGGGGAAAACTTCCTGGATCGCCCTGAAGTTCCTATTGATGCAGAGGTCTTCAGCACCATAGGTGAGTCAGGACAGGTATCACAGCTGTAAGGTCAAAGCATTGACCCTGTAGAGGTCCGAGATGGCTGGAGATAAGGCAGAGCCCTGGAGCTTTTCCCCTCAGGGGAGGCATCTGCCTTGGCTTACTGGTTGCGTGTTTCTGCCAGGACTGATCTCCTCCAATGGGCACTTGTGGAAGCAGCAGAGGAGGTTCACCTTGGGCACCCTCCGAAACTTTGGCTTGGGGAAGAGGAGCCTGGAGGAGCGCATCCAGGAGGAGTGCCAGTTCCTCGTGGATGTGTTTAGGGATGAGCAGGGTGAGTCCTACAGCCCTCATGAGCTGAGATGAAGGCAGGAACTCGTCTCCAATGAATTCACAGAATCACAGAATTGCTGGAGTTGGAAGGGACCTCTAGGGATCATCTAGTCCAACTCTCCCACTGAAATAGGATTCAAATGACATCCAGTCTTCTGCAGACCTTGCTTTCCAAAGTAAACAAATCCTCCATGACCTGACTGAACTGGGACCGACTATGGGAATTTTTGCTCCATGCTGGGGCTGCCCAGCTAAAGCTTGGCCAGGCCTTGGGGTGGCAGGGTGTCCTGGCGTGAAGTTACTCAGGAGAGTGCCCATCAGGGGCCACTCATTTCACTCATATTTGTTGAGTATTTTACCTCTTGACAGCTGCTTTCTCTTCTCCTTTTTTGTGAAGGTTGGAATGAAATTGATCTTTCTCTTTTCCTTCTTCAGGGAGTCCTTTTGATCCTCGCTTTAAAATCAACAATGCTGTTTCAAATATCATCTGCTCCCTTACCTTTGGCCAACGCTTTGACTACCATGATGAGGACTTCCAGAAACTGCTGTGGCTGATGGATGACACAGTTAGGCTCCACGGGACTGTCATGAGCCAGGTACAGCCCTGCTGCCACCAACATGGACAGTGTGCCGTTTTGCAGTGCCATACTTTATTCCCTGAAGTCAGCCTTGAAACTTGCAGTGTTTGTTCCCCAAGTTGCTATCACAGATGAGGTTTATTGTCCTTTTTTTCTATTTGCTTTTCTCCTTTTGTATCCAAAGCTGTACAACACTTTTCCATCTATAATTAAGTTCCTCCCTGGATCCCACCAAAACATTTTTAAAAACTGGATGTGGATGAAAAATTTTGTTCAAGAGAGGGTTGACAAACACAAGGAGGACTGGAACCCCTCGGAGTGCCGGGACTTCATCGACAGCTACCTGCAGGAAATAGCCAAGGTCAGCAACTAGAGCAAACCCTTCTGCAACAGGCCTACAAATCAGGAGGAACAAGAAATGAGCCCAAATTCTCCATCTGAGCTGCCTCTGTGGCCATCTATGAGCCTACAATAGACATTAGGATAAGTGCACCCATCAAGAGGATGGAGGTGCAGGGGCCAGTCCAAATCTTCTGCCAAAATCCTTGTGGTTACCTCAGCATGGGCAGGGCTGGGCCTGGTGTCTGGGCAGCTCTCCCTGCTCATGTGGCACTAACTGACCTTTTTGTGAAAGGACAATGGCAGTGGCAGCTTCCAGGAGAAGAACCTTGTGGCGTGCGCACTCGACCTGCTGTTTGCCGGGACCGAGACCACTTCCACAACCCTCCGCTGGGCTTTGCTGTATATGGCCATGCACCCAGAAATTCAAGGTACAGTGAGCAAGAGGTCAGTGTTTTTCCTGGCTTTTAGCCCTCACAGCTTTGTCAGGGTGTTGGTTTTCATTGAGACAGAAAAATTGGGAATCTCCTGGCACATAGAGAAGGTGCAAACAGTTGAAGGTGTCCCATGTCGGTCCTTGGAGGACTCTCCCAGCAATGATCCAGTGTTGTTCCAAGGGTTTTTTTCCCTTGGCCCTTGGCTGATCCCTGCTCTTGCCCACCAGCCCGTGTGCACGCCGAGATCGACGCAGCCATCGGGCAGGCGCGGCAGCCGGCCCTGGAGGACAGGAACAACATGCCCTACACCAACGCTGTCATCCACGAGGTGCAGAGGAAAGGCAACATCATCCCATTCAACGTGCCAAGGCTGACGACTAAGGACACGGTCTTGGATGGCTTCGTCGTACCAAAGGTAACCCCACTCCTGGGTGCTGAGACTTCAGCAAGAGACTCCCAGTTCCACAGCACTTTTCCTAGGGCCATGTCCCTCCTGTGCAGACAGGTGGGTCATTCCATCAGATAAAAGTGGTGCTGATGAGAAAGAAGTATGGGTATAGAATACTTGCTCTTCCAACAGATAAGAAATAAGATAAAGCCAACTGTGGGGGGAGGGAGTTGTTGGAAAAATAATCGCAGGAGAATTTGGCTAAGGATGTTCTTTATGGAGGGGACTGGATGATGAAAATGCCCCTCCTACTGCCAGTGACAGAGAAAATGCCATTTCCTTTTCTTTTTCTCCTCTTAGGGTGCTATTATGCTCACAAATTTAACCTCCCTGATGTTTGACAAGAACGAGTGGGAAACCCCTGATGCCTTCAACCCTGGGCATTTCCTGAAGGATGGTCAGTTCTGGAAAAGGGAGGCTTTTATTCCTTTTTCTATAGGTAAGATTTTCTGGATTTTGATCATTCTGTGATGAGGCATTGGGGTGCGTGTTCATCTGCACAGTGGAGACACACAGGAAAACAGTGATAGAAAGGGCAGATTGTGGCTGTGCCCAGGGAAGTTCTGCTCCAGCAGTGCTCACGTGGCCACTCCAAGCACTGCAACCACACTCTGAGGCCCTACTTTCTGCTTTTGGCAGCCCTGTTTATTACTAGCATCCCACACCTTCTCTTTGATGTAGCTCAAACCAGCCACCTCTCCCTGCCTGGGCACATCCATGGGCTTATCCCAGCAGGGGAGGACACAAGGCCTGTGCACACGGTCACCCCAGTTTACCCTGGCAGAGTCCTGCAGTTTGGGGGCAGCATGCACTGTAACAACAGGGCTGTTACTGGGGAGCTCAGTCTGGGCTGTGAAACTCATCCTGGAGAGGGAGGAGCAGGGCTGAGCTGTGTTCCGAAGGGAAGGCAGAGGCTTTTTTGTTAGCAAAAGCAGCTGGGCAGGCAGCGCAGGCTGAGGATGTCATGGGTGACCTGTCTCCACAGGGAAGAGAGCCTGCCTGGGCGAGCTGCTGGCCCGCTCCGAGCTCTTCCTCTTCTTCACGGCTCTGCTCCAGAAGTTCACCTTCCAGGCTCCCCCAGACACCACATTCAGCCCCCGGCCCAGGATGGGCATCACCATGGCCCCAGAGCCCTACAAGATCTGTGCTGTGCCTCGGTAGGGAAGCCTTGGAAACTGAGCCCTCGGTGGTGGTGACAACCAGCTGGCTCCAGGGAGAGGCTGGGCCCTTTGTTTATTCATTTTAAAGCAACTGCAAAATGATTTGTTTTACAAGCAGACCTTGCACTCTGGATCACAAGACAGGTGACCGGCCTGGGATCACCCAGGGCACTTTCAGCTTTACAGTTCTGCTCTGTACATGAGCGAGGTGCTTGAGCCTTTCCTAATGCTATGCTGGGTGGCCCTGCTTCACCAGGCAAGAGAACAAGCAGCACTGGAGGGTGCAGTGTTCAGGCTGGGGCTGTGCTCTGTGGGAAAGCAGGACTTGCTTTAGAGCTGTGATACAGGGAGCAATTGCTAGCATTTTTTGCTTTTGTTGTCCTTGCAAAATCATCTGTTAAAAAGAGTTACTATACCATCTCTTTGCATTCATCAATAAATCCTTACTAAACATTTTTGTCATGAAGCATTTTGCAAAGTGAAGACCAACATAGGCAAGGTTGGCAGGGGGCTGTGAGACCTCCTGGGCAGAGGAAGCTGTACAGCACTGAACACATGCCCCTGCAGCATAGAGAGAAGTTGGCACTGAAGGAGCCAAGGCAATTCCTGCAGAGCTGATGAAAGTAAGTGTAGGTAAGCTTGTGGGGAAGCCATCAAAGGCTGTGGCAAGATTCTGGCATGCCACAGGAACGGGGAGTGTTACACCCACAGGGAGTGCTCTCCACTCGGTCAGTTCTCTCTATAAAGTATCTGCATTTGTAGCTATAGAGTTGGGATTCTGCCTTCTAGAATATGCTAAATGCTTCCCGTTAACCTGCCCAGCATCACTGGGTTGCTGGTGTGCCTGGGGGGCAGAGGGGTGAGCTCCAGCAACATGTCATGCTCCACTTGCTGCACTCAGCCTAATGAACGGAAGGGTCAGCTGGAAAATACCAGCAACAAATTACCGTTGTTGTAACCCACCACAGGCAAAGTGAAACAATTCCAGGATTGTCAGCTCATGGTGAACACCAGTAAATGCATTGACTTAGTAACATTGTCACCGTGGGATGCTGGCGAGGCCCCCCAGGTGCAAGATGCTGCAGCTCCTGGGAGCATGGCACAGCCCAGCACTGGTAACACACACCTCCAGCTCCTGCTCACCTGCTGAGGAAGCCAGGAGAAATCAGTCTTTTTCCACTAATTTTCAATTTTTTCCTGAAGTACCTTATGTGTGTGCATGTTCCTAGAGTAAGCAAATTTTTCTCCTCTAAGAATTATGTCATCTGAAGGAATTAAGAGCATCTTTTTTTCATGCAAACTTTTAATGCCCAGGTAGGTTTTAAATCCTTTTGTTTCAACCTGCAGTTTCTTCTTCTTGGAGTGCAGAGGGGAGGAAGCATGGAAGGCTGGGATGGCCTGCAAATGGGCCCATCTTGTGGCCTGACAACTCACCTTGGGGCCAAGTACAGCTGTACAACATAAAGCAGAATTTGCAGCAGGTGACCCCAGCTTCTGGTAAGAGTCCTTCAAGCACAGGGCATGGTGGGGCAGCTCTGCCCCCTCTGATTTTCTGTGCCAGGCACAACCAGGTGGAAACAAAGAGGTTGGGCTAAGATGCCATTTCTGGCCTTTGAGGGTCCCTTGCAAACAGCCCTCCCTGCACACACCAGCCTTCACCCGCTCCCTCTGCACTCAGGAAGGCAGTGGGGGCTGCCAGAGTGTGTCCTGTGACAGCACATACAGCCTGAAAACACCCTCCAGCTTGACTCGGGCTTCCTGCACAGCTGAGAGCCTCCTCCCTTCTCCCACAAACACACACCTGCAAGTTTTGGTTCTTTGGTGTCAGAAAATGCTTTTACTTCCAGCCTCAGAGAGAAGGAAAAACAATCCTTCCATATCTGGCCTTTCACTTCAGGCTCATTGGGACACTTCTGCCAGTGCCTCCTGTGCTGAGCTATCATCACACAGCTCCCCCTCCTCACAGGGGCAGCAGCCCAAGACAACAGAAATCGTTACTTACCAATATCAGGACAGACAGGCCGAGAATTATGGTTGAGAAAGGCAAAACCTGTGGTAGGAACAGCTCTGGAATGGGGGCCCTGAAGGAAACTTGTGATCTTTCCTGCTGTTCTTCACTCTGGAGGGCTGCCTGCCAGTCTCAATCTGGGTTGAGGTTAGTGCTCAGGGAACAAGAAGGCTGCCAATGAGAATAAGAACTGGGCACACAACCTGCAAAGCAGACTGGAGCAGGTAGGGGTTTTTTTCCAGATAATAACAAGGATGGTGATTCAGAAGTGTGTACCTGTCCTCTGTTGCTGATCTTCACTCTGGAGGGCTGCCTGCCAGTCTCAATCTGGGTTGAGGTTAGTGCTCAGGGAACAAGAAGGCTGCCAATGAGAATAAGAACTGGGCACACAACCTGCAAAGCAGACTGGAGCAGGTAGGGGTTTTTTTCCAGATAATAACAAGGATGGTGATTCAGAAGTGTGTACCTGTCCTCTGTGCCCTCTTGGGTGGAGCCAAGGAGAGTCGGCAGAGATCTTGATTCAGTACCAATAAGTAATTGCTGAAGTCACTCGACAGCTAATTTGTTGTGAGTTTCAGTCTTTCCACTTCACTTGTCCAGCTCTCCCAAGACTGCCAGCAGACTGAGTAGAGGTAACCAGCTTCAGGTGGGAGCAAAACTGCAAGCAGGAATTAACTGAAAAGAGGAGGGGAAGGCAGCACAACATCCATACACTCACTATATACAAGTTACATGTCCTGTAAGATGGCATTTTAGATGGTGTAATGATATCAACATGCAGACCCAGCTCATACTTAAGTACAGAAATATGGATGCTTCTATCAGCCAGGGACCATTAAATAAATTTCTTGGAATAAAGACACCAAGGAATTAATTTTAAAAATCTTTATGTGAATATAAAGGAATTATTTCCAAAGAAAATAAAACCAAAAGTTTAAAAATTAGTGCAATTATTCAAGTTCTATGCAAAACATTGTTTACATTTGTTTTAAACAGAAGATGTAGCCACTGATACACTAAAAACCTTAACTCTACCTTGACTAGTGGGGGTAGGGAAAAGAAGCAAAAAAGTTATTTAAAATTACTTTACTAGACATTACTAATTCTTAAGCAATTGTTTTTATTTCCTAATACCTGAACTATTTATGGCTACCTAAATAAAACATCAGTATTGCTTATATTACTTATTTCCAAGTGTATACTGTAGAAAATAGAATACCCATATATATATATATATAAACAAAGAAAAAAATCAGTTAAGTGAAAATTTATTTTCAGTGAATGTTTCCTAATCCACTATAATACAGTTGTTGCAAAAGAATCTTCTCAAAACTGCTGCCTGATCCACCTTGGGTAAAAGAACCTTCTAGTCCAAAATTTGGATTATTGCTACAAAACACTTCTCTTTCATAGAGGCTATTCTTATTTTTATATAAAAAATATTAACAAATGATATGTCAATCAGAACGTAAGTTTGTTTCTTTGGATCTATATTACCCGTTTTATTGGAAACTGGCTAAAGTGACTAATAATGCTGATCAAATTCAGGAATATTAATGATTTCATCTCATAATCTGAATCTGTTCTTAACTGTGCTGTCTTGGCATGGGATTAATTCATCTTGCAGCAGAGACAAGTGGCCTCTTTCTTCATTCTGCCTCAGCAGTGGCGCACGTTGCCTCAAAGACATCGTGCTGACATTGTCCTGCTGTGACATGTTGCATGCAACTCAGCTGTAACCCAGCAGTGCTACTGGTAACTTCTTTTGTTTGGCATGAACGAAGTTCACATTACAGTGATCCTTATTTTAATTTTCTGCACAGCCAGATGAGCTGAAGACAACATCATGGCTTATAATCAAATATTTGTACAGATCAGTTCCTCATTCATAGGATGTAAACCAAATTCAACCAGTTATAAAACAGCCATTCTTAACAGGTTCTCAATCCCAAAGAAACACTTCAGTTATATTCACAAGCTTAACATTTAACAGTTTGGAAAAGTCCCAAATTAGTAACGTTTCATCTCTACCTTAAAAAGAGATTAATTTTTAACAACCCCAACAGGGTTGTACTGAGCACAACTGTACCCTGAAAAAGGCTGATCCCTACCTGTAATTCCGTATTTAAATTCTTCCATTACTAATCAGAAGACAATCCTCCAATTAAATGATAGGGAGGTTCATGGTCATTTTTTGGTCCCAGGGTCTGCAGTTTTGAGAAGTGTACATCATAGACATTTGCTCCAAGTTTTTCACTACTTAGCACCTGATATGACTACTGACACAGCTCTACTACTGTGAGAAGTACAACAAATGCATCAAGCCTATTAACTAGATGAGTATTTGAAAGATGTCCATGAAAGTTTCCATGCTGTAAAGAATGAGGGTTAAGAGACCCATTCAACACCATCAGTGACAATTTCACATTTCACTAGAACACACCAAATTACCAAGCTTCAGAAATGTAAGCATCTTGCTAAGACTTAAGTCTCCTGTTCCACTGCTCACCATCTCCCACACCACTTTTAGCAGATTAAACAAGCAACGGTATCTTAAAAATACAAACTGTAATAAAATCACTGCAGCAATAAAAGACCTCAAAACCCAAGAGGTAGTCCAAAGAATCATGAGTCCTGAAGAACACAATGTGACAGACAAAACTGTCCAAGAGCAGTTTGTCTGGCGTCTTTCTCTGCTCCTACCACACTGAGCTGAGACTGACTGGCTTGTGTAGACAACAGTTCTAAAAGAGGAAATCTCTGTTGAACACCTAAACGTATAGCACTGTAAAACTACCACCACCACAAAGAAGCAACACTAACCAACTGTTAAAGATGAGAACTTCCCTTTTCTCTAGCATTGCATGCAATGCCCAGTTGAGAATTCAAGATGCTGGGGAAGGAAGAAATCAAAGAACAAGCCATAGTGAGGGGCACACAGAATGGCAGACTACTCAAATTTAACAGTTCAAAAACTTATATTCTGCAAAGCTGAACCCTGCTCTGAAATCAAAGATGGTCTTAATGGTCAAGACAGACATAAGCTTCCCTGTGGCTGTTTTATGTTAGAACATGGGCTGGTACAGCACTCTCAAATACTTAGTTTAAGTGGATATATTTTATTTTAAGGGCTGTTGCAATTTTATGGGTATAATGAATTTGTTCCAGAGTTTGCAAAGAAGAATGGGTCATAAACAAGTTTCCTAAAAATAGTGTTCAGAAGAAAAATAAGACATATGGTAAATAAAGTGACACAAATGTTGTGAAAAATAGCAACTTCCTGCACACAAATTTCAGGTACCAATGCGCATTTCATTTTCCTTCAATCTAGAAGCTGCAAAACTATTATAGTTTATACACTTCCTGCCAGCAAATAATCTCCACTGCCAACAACTAGCAAAGCTATCTTTCCTTTGCCTAGCACAGTCAGTTCAGAATAACTGAAACGAAACTACAATTTTTTAAAAAAGAGGAAAAGTAGTATCTCTGGACAGGGTTGTATAAATAGCTAGAAATAAATGGAGTTCCTTCCCACCTATACCCATTTCTGCCAATAAATGCAGTGTACCAATATGCCAGACTTTTAAAACACAGCCTAGACGTCTGAATTATTATAATAGCTTTTTTTCTGACAGAGGAAAAGACAGCTTATTTGGCTTTAGTGAATTCAACATCTTAAAGACAAGTTTTCCTTAAAGTATATACACACAAACTTAATCTTTTGTTTCTTTAGATAAACTGAGTACTTCTGCTTCTCATTTGAGACAATGAAAAAATCCTGTCTTCTGTTACATAACAAGTCAACTGGTACTACACCTTTTTTTTATCTTTTTCTATAAATGCAAGCATTTTCTTGGTTTTATAAATGTACTTTGTATTTTTAAAAAGTATATTTTAAAACATGGTACCAATCTTTTAAATTTATTTTTAGAAGAGCCCAGAGAAAAAGCCCAGTATTGCCAGTTTCCTGAAGTACATTTTTTGCATAACATCTTCCCATTACAAAAGTCAACTTTCTAGCCCAAACCCATTAAATAGTTTTAAATATATAGTGCCAATTTTTATATTTACAATATATTCTGAAGGCAAATATAAATCTTTTTAAGTTGTGCTTGTAAATACATGCTGCACTTATTAAATCTACTTCTACTTGGAAAACTATGTGCTACCTTCTAGACACCCCACTGATCAACTTAGTCGCTTCTTGATAGGTTCTGATGTTGGATTCACAGTTGCCCACCATTCTAGCCTTCTCTTTCATGAAGTAGTTAAAGTGGAAGCTGTAAAACATTTAAGGACACTTTAGCATAGAAGTTTTCCTCATCGTCCTTGTGGGTTAATCAGATGTAGCACCTGGTACTTTAACAGTGAGATTCCTTCTGGTATTGGTGACGTGACGTTGTTGAGCAAGGAACGAGCGTCCGGGACCATCTTTGCAGGCACCACTATTGCCAACCAGCCTTGCTTCCATTCCTAGCTTCTGAAGAGTCAGGCTCTGCAAAGGAGTTAAACAACATTTACACTTTAGCAAAGAGAGAAGAAAAAACACTGGCCATCTTTCAGACACAAAACTCATGCTTAGTTAGTATGCACAGAACTTCTACTCTATTTCTTACGTACTCTCTTGCTGCCATAAAGGCATGAACCAAGGCTGGAGAAAAGAAGATTCATTCACGTCTGTAAAGAATGCGTTAATTTTAGCTTCTTGTAAAGGTGTTCCTTTATTAAGGCATTTAATTTTACTTTTTTTATGTCCCATTCCAGTCTTTCTTATGAAAGTCTATTTCAACATCACTTCCTATGAACAACTTTCTCTATTTCTTTTCACCACCAAGCATCAGACATTCCAACAACCTTTGCTGCAGGATGAGAAGGTGGCTCTGGCTTTATTTCACAAATACTGTGCTAAAGACACCGAACATCTAAAACAGGAGACTGACAACCTTTTTAACCATGGCCTCCCTTTGTCAAGCCCAAACACTTCAGCAACAAATGCTGTTGAACATTCAGGAATTTGGCCTGCTAAATCCCAATGGAAGCTTGTGGCACCAATTAATACATTACTAACACGGAAGACATGGCCTGTCCTAAATTCAGTCACCTGTTCCAAAGCACAGAAGACAAGCAGAAAACATGTAACAAAATAATTTTACAAAATCATGTTTTCCCTTTATGTTGCTATCAAAAGAGTTGATGCTGGTGTTTCCTTAGTTATCTCAAAAGGGTTGGAAATGCCAGCTAGAATTCACTCAAGTTTGCATTCTGGCTTGAAGTCAGAATTAGGAAGTGTGCTCTCATTTTAAATGGAAACTCAAAGGCTTTGTTCCTTTCCCCAGTTCCCTGTTTTTAGACACGGGGCTTTGCTAAACTGCAACTTTGATTTTTCAGCCACAGGCAGCTAAACTACTAACTTTCTCTCCTAAATACCAGTTTATAGTGAACTTAAAAAGAAAAAACACCCTGAGATGTAAGATTTACCTGTCACATTCAGCAAAACGTGTTTGTCTGATTTCTGTGATACCAGCAAATGAACTTTTGACCCACCTTGTTATACCAGGCAGTTACAATGAGCTTTTCCTCATAATCACGTAACTTGGCAAGCTTGTATTCAGCCTGCAGGCAGACAACAGAGAAGACAATCTCAATTAAAATACCAAAATAATCTGCATAATTACTGTAGACTGGTGAGTGAAATAAACACACAGAAATGCTTAAATATGCAAAATAACTAGATGGCTTAGAAGTGTAAATAAGATACTTCCAAAAATGACTATGAGAGAAGCTGGAGAGTATTTCCAAGATACAGTTCAACTTAGAAACATACTCTGAGGGTGGGGGGGGGGAAAAGCATGGAAGTCTAGGGTTTATCAGAAAACCTACAAATAACTGAGCATTTTTTTTTACCTGAAAGTCAAGAGTGTATTTCTACTGGCTGAATATTCCTAGCATGTTACTGAATAGCTATTACACTGTGTCCTTACCTTGCATATACACACAGAAGAAACCTGAGGCTGTCACAACTTTTATTTATGAGCTTTCTGGTCATTAACCAGTGGTGAGGAATTTTCTATTTGCTCAGGGAACTATTCCAACCAGTCCCATCGATGTTGCTGTAGAACTCAATGTAGCCTTTCTGAAATTTTTTTTGGTCCCTGGACTACTGCCAACAATCCTTTCAGACTTTCAGCCAAGCAGATTTTACTGAATTAACAGGTTTTACTCTTTTATAGTTTCAAGAATTCCAGTAGATGAACTCACTGATATCAGAGATCTAGTAAATTTAAAAAGTTACTGCAAAACTACCTAGTCCTTCATGCATCTATGCTACGTAACTACTGAAAAAGGTCAGACTCTGCAGCTCTGCACAAGGTAAAGTAACATGGCAAAACTTTTAGTCTTATGAAGTATTTATATTTACCTTCTAGCTTTTCAGAGAGTTTAGAAAGAATCCAAATTAGTGTTTCAGTTGTACATTAAAAAATGCTATTGAAAAGTAAACTACTCTGACAGAATTACACTAGGATAAATTAAGCCAAACTAAAAATGTCTAGGTTTGTCTGTGCAGTTTCTACCTGAATGCAGCACAGAAGGGCAGAAGATCATTAGGGAACAGTAACTTGAGTGTCTAATACCAGACAGAAGAACATACTAGAAATTATTATTAAACATTTGTAAATTTTTACCTCTAATGCTTCAATTTTTTTGTCTTTTTCTGTTATCTGTTTTCTGAGCGACATGATTTCTGCTGATGCTGGATTTAGCTTGGGGTCCAAGGTTTTTATGACCTGTGCAAGGCGAAACAAAAGCATTACAAGTCAGGTTTGACATCTCTGCATCTCATCTGCTCACAGGAGAAATATGAAAACAGACTGAGCACTCCTTGGGCAATTATGATGAAAACTAGGCTGTTACACTGTATAATAGAAGTTACCAAAGGGTACAAATAAATCAGTAATGCATTTTATGCTTTAGCGTAAACCCCATTCTCTCCAACACTTAACTTCAATTGAGCAATTTGACTAAAAACATGAACACGTAGTTACTAACTTTATTTAGAATGGGGGACAAAACTCAAATAAATCTGTTTAACATTTGATGAGGGAGAAAGGTGCATGTTCAGAAACATGCTACTCACATTTCTTGCTTTCTCAAGATACATTTTATATCGTTCCTCCATTGCTTTCATATCCTCATCTTTTTTTCTCAAAGCTGCTTCCAGCTCTCCAATCTTCTGGGCTGTTTACAGAAATTATCAAAGACATACAAAATAAAAATAGACACAGTACTTTCAAGGTTTCTTGATTTAACCACCCCCCAGAATAAACTTTCTAGCCACCATTAAATTTCTCAAGTTCTTCCAGTTGTTTTGGTTCTACCATAAGGCCCCAGCTGACCCTGAATCCCCATTTTGCAGAGCATTAACACAAAGCCCCCATGAACCTCTCTCTGCAAAAAAAACCCTCCACCCCAGTTTCAGGTTTGAAGCTAAGCTGTAGCAGAAAGCCTTGTCCAGGCAAGCATCCCATAGCTCAGGAGCCATGAGAATAATTTTAGAAGGAACTTAACATAGTCTCATAAAAAAAATAAAGTCATCTTCCTCCAGCACCCCAAAAAAAATCCCCAACAAGCACAAAAAACAACTTACGGTTCTGACTGACATCAGGCTGGAGCTCTGCAAGATCAGCCTCTTTCTTCTGTAATTTATCATGAACTTCATTCAGCTTTTCCCTATAAAGGAAAGGCTGGGCTAAGGATTAAGCTCACAATTCCAGGAATTGCATTAAGAGCTGAAAGCTGGAACTTAACAGTGGAAGTGTTTAACTACTTCAAACCCTGGTAAGTTTTGTTTAGTTTAAATAAATTAGTGTGTGTTTTTGAAGAAATATAATAAAAGTTGTGACTTATGAATTGAGTCTCATACACCTGAAACTAAAAAACAACCTAGCAAAAAAATACAGGTACTGCATCTGCTGGAAGGATGGAATTATTTCTGAAGAATGAAATATGTTTTGAACCCAGTGAGGGTGCTGGTTTTAGCAGCCTGTTGTAGAAACAGAACAGTTAAAATGCTACTGGTGATGGAAGAGTGAGTTAAGTGGACACTATTACCACAAGATTATCATGACCAGTGTAGACAAAACTAGAAGGCTACCACTTAACTCATTACATGCATAATTCTCAAATCAGTGGCTTAGAAATACAAGACAGTTTCTGTGCTACAACAGTCAAATTATTTAGCATAAATAAGCTACTGTGGATGCATGTGCCTTACTTACATATGTGCTTCCAATTTCTGCTTCAGGTTGATAGACTATGAAAGGAAAAGGATGAAATTCAGTTATATTTCAAGTACTTCATACCATGCAATGTTAAAGTGCTCTTGCAAAGCAGCTGTGAATATTATGCCGCTCTAAGTAAGTCAAACCAAATAAATCCTAAGAAAAATGCCTTGTCATGTAATTTATGCAACTGCATTCATATTTTTTGCCTTACAAGGACAGCCATGCCAGCATTTTTTTTCTGTAAATCTATCCTTCTCACTTTAACACCATTTACTTACAAAGCTAGGTATTTTTAAAAGTAAAGTAGAGGGTAAAAAGTTACAGTTCCTCAAAGAAGGCAGGGGGAAGGAATCACATAAAACATGAACTTTGCAATTGAAATGCAGCTGGTGGGGGGTGTCTCATGGATTCTCATACTATAGAAACTGAACTCATCTGCTCTGAGTTCAGTGAAGCCAAGTCTGTTTTACATAAACTGAGGGAGCTGTTTTCAGGCAGGACAGAGTTTTTAGAATACACTGACCAGCCTCAATTGTTTAAAATCTTTCCTTCCAAGGTCTTTTGAAAGGTTTGTGTTTGTTTGTGTTGTGGCAGGGGTTGTGGGTGACCCAAAGGGATCCTCACCTCTTACTACTGCATAAATGATTATGTTTCAAACTAACTTTAAAAAAAAAAGCACAAAAAAAAAAAAAAGGACCAAACCACAATCCTACCTTCTCAGTAGCTACCAGCACTACACACTGAAACAAAGTGGCACATTTAAATAAACAACTCGCTGTTCTACTGAAGGATTGTAAACAAAATTAGCAAGTTGTCTTCAAGGTCAAGAAGTCTGAACTTTCACTTACTCCCTCAGCCTTGGATCCCTGCTCCTGCAAAGTCTTTTGCAGATCTTCAATCTGCTGCTGTAGCTCCCCGATACGCTCTTCATTTAGCCTTTTAGGAAGAAAAGAGAGTTATTACCCATCTAAATAGACCAAAACAGAGCATTAGATTTTTCTGATTCATGTCCGCATGGCAATTTTTCAGAGGGTTTACCCAGCAGGACCTAAGCCACAAAGAAACTGGTTTGAAATGTCTTTAGTTTGACTTGAACTTCTGCTGAAACAAACACACAGCAGCTTTATTAAACATTTTATCATGAAAGACTTAGACTAATTTGAAGTTTTGAGAAAACTACCCAAAATTCTTATATCCTAATAAACTACTTTCAGCATTCATTAACTGATAGAGAAATTCTGACCATATCCCACTGTTACAACATGAAGTTCTAGAGTTTACATGCACTCTTGCTCTACCAAGAATCATTCATAGCTGAGAAGAGCATCCTATCAGCAACCTTTTCCTCAGAGTGCACTTCTTTTATTCTACACCACCACAGTTAAGCTACTTTCCCTGCCACTCTGAAGCTCCAGAAATCACTTTTTGCTGTATTTTAAGGTGCTGTTTCACCTTTTCTCAGTTTCTAGTTCGCTCACTGTCCGATGTTTTTGCTCCAGCTGTTCTTGGAGCTCCGTAATACGTTCATTTTCTGACCCTTCCTGTTGTAACAGAAGCATCTTATTTTCATGCTGCAGCCGAATAAACATCTCTCTGAATCAAAAACAAGAAAGTCACAGTTAACTAAGAAAAAGGTAAGAGCAGGTAAGAGCAGGTCCTGTTGACTTCCTCAACCTTAAAGGGAATGAAACAAGTTTTGCCTAAGGATGTATTTGGACCAACAATACAATATTTTATTAAAAGGTAACTTAAAATTTTCAAACACCACAATAGCTTCAGCAATATCAACAAAGTTTCAAATTAAATCACTCCAAACTCAGATTTCACTGTGTCTTTATGTTTCATTCTGTCAGACTTCAAGAGGAATATTAGCTGCCTTTAGCTACTCTTTCTTAGTTGCTGTCTATTATTTATAAATTCTGTCAGTGGCAAGAACTGTTTTGCTCCTTGAAGAGGATGTTTCAAACCAAATTTTATAAAGCAACCTGTTTTTTAAAAGAATGGGAAGTAATCATAGTATGGGAAAATAATTATTAACAGCTACATGAGGGTCTAAAAAAGCATCATGAAGCAAAAGCAAGTGGGATACAGAGTCACACTGCCAAAACTACTGAACTTTCATACAGAAAATATTATGCCCCACCCATATAAATCTCCAGACAACCTCAAACTTGTTGTCTTACCTATATTCCACTGGCAGAATTTCAGCAGCAAGATTCTCATGGCTTTTAACACGAGATGCACCTGCAAATGCATGGCAAGGTTAATTTAACAAACTTAGAGAAATAATTGAAATACACATAAGAGCCTTTGAAAATAAAGCAGTAATACCTGTTTGACTCAAGTGATCCTGCTGCATCTGTGAGTACCGGAGCTCTTCATTTGTCTCTTTTAATGCATCACACTGTACTATCAGTCTCTAAACAGATATATTTGAGATGGTATTAAAGTCATGCTGCATCACTTGAAGACCAAATAACATTAATCAGCAACAGTACTGACACATACACACATCAAGATATATTTTATGTTTTATATGTATATATACACACACACACAAGGCACTAAATTTCATTTTTGTGGTAGTACTACCTTTGGGAAGGTTTTCCTCAAGTAGAGAACTGAGATTTATTAGGTCTTTAATTAAACTCCTATTCAAGAGACTTACCTCTTTTTCTTTGATTAAAGCTTCATGTTTTTCTTCAAGTCGCTTCATTTCAAACGCCAGCTTATCAGCTCTTTTTGATTCTTCAGACAGTTTGTTGTGAAGCTCCTGGACCTTTTATATAAAGATTATATTCAGCACATGAATGTTGCAAGATGCTACCTTTAAAAGCCATGTTAAATCCTTCACTTCTTCCCAGCTCAGCCAAAATAAACAGCTGGTCCCAAAAGCTTGGAGGGGGTTGGACTAGATGATCTTTGAGATCCCTACCAACCTGGCATTCTATGATTCTAAGTTTGGGATTGTTTTTTTCTTTGTTTTTTGCTTTGTTTCAATTTTCACTTTGTTTTGCCTAGTTTGGTTTTAGTTGTTGTTCTTTTTAATATTTAACTACTGAATATTTTAATGACTACTGAAATAGGTGAAACTGAAGCAAAACTTTGACAGTTTAGAACACACTCTGTGTGTTGTAAAGGAAGTTAAGACTATTACACACAAGTGATTTCATGAATGGCTGAACAACCTCTTCCAAGCACACAAATTACCCCAGTTAAAGTAACAAAGAAAAGCCTGCAAACCAGGAACTATCATTTGAGAGAGCAATGACAGTTAAGCTTACTAGTTTAATCACAGAATCACAGAACGTGTGGAGTTGGACCTTTAGAGATCATCTAGTCCAGTGCCCCTGCAGTGACCTTTTTGGCTAGATCAGGCTGCTCAGGGCCTGGTTGAGCCTGACCATGAATGTCTCCAGGGCTGGGGCCTCCACCACGTCTCTGGGCAACTTGTTCAGTGCTTCACCACCCTCCTTGCAAAGAACTTCATAATGTCTAACCTAACTCTACGCTGCTCTAGTTGAAGACCACTGCCTCTTGTCTGATCACTACACACCCATGTAAACAGTCCCTCCCCAGCTTTCCTGCAGACCCCTCAACAAACACCAAAAACGGAATAGCAGCATATGAGAGAGTTTTCATGGATGAGAAATTCCAAGGGCACAATAATGGGTAAGTCCATAGGCTGTTCATTTTTTTTTAACCGAAACATAATTAAAATAATGTTATTTAGATAAGATGCCTATCTGAGGAAAAAGTAACATGAAGTCTAGACACAGCCTTACCTGTTTTTTGTAGGTTTCTAGTTGGGCACGTGCTGCGTTGGCTTTCTTCAGCTCATCCTCCAGGCTGACTGTGTTGTGCATATACATCATGTTGGTTTCCTGCAGAGACTTGACCTGCCTGCGGAAATCATTCAGGTCCTGCAGCTTCTTCCTGTACACTTCGACTGTTGACTCCAGCTTACTTGCCTTGTCTGCAGTTGCCCTTAGAGTATAAACAGGAATCAGAAGAAAGAGCATGTTTCTTCCAAAGATTAAAAGTAGTCAAATTCTGCTTTCATGCACTGTCGAGCTATTTTCAAAGGGAGGTGCAACCAGCATTAAATCCTACTGCTTTATTTTTAAATGCTTGATCAATGCGAATGTGCGTTATGCAAAGATTGCATATGAAAACTGAAATCACCACAGGGTTCAAGTGGGAGTAAGACTGACATTCATATGCTAGGAGTACAAGCAAGGGCTACTATGTCAAATATCCCTAGGGAATACTGTGGGGTGCAATGTAAATGCACCGCAACATTCTGTGCTAGATATTCATCTCAGAGCACTTGTAGCTGGCTAAGGAAAAACACAGATGTGTGTATGAAACCCCACCTCATTGTGGGGTTATGCATAATTATACATAACTAGAACATAATTGCACTATGAAAATTATCATTAGCATATAGGGCCAGAATTACCAAGTGATTGTTAACAAAAGTCTGTGCGGTAAGAAAATATCTGGAGCATAAATACACAAACTAATTTTAATATCTGTGTTTAATATCTGCCCTCTCCTATCACTCAAAGCTAGTACAAGATAATTATGGAATAAAATCTGTAGTTAAGATTTGTTTCAGATGCTATTTAAGAACCACTGTAAGCTAAACACCGGAAACCACTTTTCTTTCCATGTTTTATTTATACTATTTTATGAATAGCAGACCTGCTTTTGCAACATGATTTGCTTCAAATATTTCTTGGGTGGTCTACCATTTAGTTTAGTTTACACAATCTGGAGTTTTTTTCTCATCAAGGTTGTTGTGTATTTCATCTTCACTTTGTTAATCATGTCACTAACCTAAGTCTCACCTAGAAAGACACCACAAGTTAGGCTGAAGTTCTAGGGGGATATATGCTTTTCTACATCAGGAAAGGCAGCTTCTTGCCAACATAAATGTCCTCTTAATAAGAATTCATGTGCTCCCCCATAAAAATCTCTTCATTCTTGCAGAACACTTCACCCTCCACCTCATATGAAGAAGAATAATTTCTGCATTTACTAATCCTGCTTCACACAAAAATCCCATGTTGCTATTCTTATGCAAACAAGAGAGGCTGTGCCTGAAAGCTTGCCCCCCTTCCAGGCTTTGTCAAAGGGCCCTTTTCCAACATTTACTTCAGATCTTATTCAGATAAGATCTACTGCAGAAGTAATGCCTTGGAAAAATCTTGTTAAATTCAAAGCCTTGGATTTAGTCATGAAGTCTTCCTCATGTGTGTATGGAGCTATCTCTATAACATACCTAAGAATATCGTTTTCATCTTTCAAGGCTCTGGATTCTTCTGCCAAAGAGGTCAGTTCATTGTTTCTGTGTTGCAGTTCAATCAGTTGTTTTTCTAGGTCTTCACAATGGACACGATAATCATCTTTTGCAGCTTCAAGCCTACCAGAGCAAAACCAGGAACTCTTAAGAACTCATTGTTATTAAACATTTTTCACTTGGTGTTAGAACTATCAGAAGCATAACAAAGGAAAACTACTTATTTAAGTAGCCAGAAAAATGGTACTGTAAGCATGGAACATGTTATTGTCTACCTATCAAATCAGAATGCATTGCATACTGCAAATCTACCATATCGGTATCTACCATACCATATCAAATCTACCATATCAAATAAAAAGTCATTTTTTTCCTCCACAGGGATCACAGGAATAAAAACTAATGTGAAAAAAAACAAAAACAAAACCAGGACACTCATGAGATATGGAAGATTTTTGGGCGATTAGTGGTTGTTTTGATTTGTTTTGTTTACACACAAATCACTTCAGCACTAATTTTCTGCTTTTCATCACCTTTTTGAAGTATCAAATGGCTACAATATGGCAGTTATAAAGTAACATTTTCTACAAGTTTATTTTTAAAGGTAAGAACTGTCTTTTAGAATATGTTTATACAGTATTAGAAAGCTCTGACAGAAAAAGAAATTGAGATGGAAAATTCTGAAAGAAATCAGAAATTCTCCAAATTGATTTCACATATTTGAGAGAAATCACTTCATACCTGAAGTTTTCTTCTTGCAGTTGTTCCAGCTGCAACTGTGCATGAAAATACTTCTTTGCAACCACAGTATTTGGATCATCAAGAGAGTCATCTAATTGCTCTAGCCTGTCATTCATAATCTCATTTTCTGACATCAAGCTGTTTTTTTCATCCTGGAGGGCAGCCACCTAGTTCAGATAAAACAGCATCAACACTGTAAAACCTGTCCAAGTGGAAAGAAGTATAGCAAGACAGCAATACATCACCAAATTAGTTTATGAAAAAGGTTGAGCGTTTAGGAGTTTTAGAATGTAACTAACAGAGCATACTTGAGCATACAGATGCTTTAGTGTATGACAGTCATGAAGCACTAAAAGGAAAAGTCCCTCTAAAAAAAGACAACTTTTCATAGCTGAAACCATGGTAAGGACAGACAACGCGATATGGAGAGAAACTGGTATTTTCATTAGAAAAGGATACCATGGACGCTGTACAAAAAAGAAAACAACTTGCAAGGACTGGTGTAAAGGTTCTCTCCATCTTGCTTGCACCTCACAAGCAGCAGCAGGATGGCACTGGCCAGCACACCAACACAGTCCTGCCGTGCGCAAGAAGCAGTTTCAGGTGCCGTAAGCTGGTGAGCACACACGCAACAGAAAACCTGGACAGCTCCATGGACAGCATGCATTTGTTTTTTTGCAACAGTCAAACAAGTTTGGTATTGAAAGTGTTCACAGCTAAGCAAATGGGAATACAACACTTCATTGAAACAGTAAGTATATTAACAGCCATAAAATGAAGAAGGATTAAGAGGATAGAACCTTTAAAGTTTTTCTAGTGAAAGCTGTTGTGTTAATTTTAACATCCTGTCAAACATAAGAGCACGTAGCATGTGTTAGTTAATTGGCATTTAAACAGGGACAATATGCTTTTTGGGTTATGTTTTCCTGAATCATAAAGAAAACCTACCTTTCTTATACTCTTGGAAAATATCAAGGAAGACTGAGACCTTACAAGTGAATTTATTAAGAATTAGTTTAAATGAGAAGCGTCAGTCAATATTATGGCTTCAAATAAATTAAATAAAATATAACAAAACATATCATGGTGACATTAATAAACATCAGATGCAACCTAGAGTAGGCAATACTGTGAAACTGTTTGTGATCATAATTCAAATGTCTATCAGTCAAACAGATGTAAGAAACAAAACAGTAAATAATCTACTACTTCATTATTAGGTGCTTGTTTTCTAGGTTCACTCCTTTTTACACCCCAGAGTTCACTTTACTACCTAAATGCACACAAAGCACCTGTGAGTAGAGAGAACACCCAAGCCTTGCTCAGCACAATGCTCTGTGTTCAAGGTTCAGCCACTCCTTAAACAGACACAACATTCACTCTTTTAGAAACATCTTAACAGAACACCCACCTCAGACTTAAAAAAAAAAAAACCCACAACTATCACAGAACTCCAAGCAAATTTTTCATCTTTTCTCAGTTCCTTTCTGGTAGCTTTCTCTTCTTCTTTTCTATTATTTCAACATAACAGAAGTGGTGTTGAAGTCAACAAAATTAGGAAGAGATATTTTAAAAACACATATTAAAGAGCTATGGTGTCATTAACTCATCTGTTTATACCCAGCAGTACCTTTCCCTCAAACACCTTTCATGCCTTCACTTGGCCCACCCTTTGCTGTGGGCTTTGTGTAATCTATCATTAACTAATTAGGAAATATCCAAAGAGAAGTTTGTGGGAGACAGGAGAAAGTCTGGGACTGCTCTAGCGAGACACACTGAATCTCCTGATGAAAGCAGAAACTGCAAGTAAACTTATCCCCAGCACTTCTGGAAGAGTGAACACCCTTTTTGAAGTTCAACAAACGTAATCTGAGAATTCAGCTGCCAAATTAATCCTCTTGGCCATTTAAAATAAATAATTTTCTCCTTCTTGCAATGATTTTTCACATCTCTGCTCTCACTGGGAAGCCTTACCACTGTATGAAGGAAAAAGGAAATGAAATACCTATTCAATCCTAATGATAGTTTCCTGGTGATGGCAATTAGCCAGGAGCCTACTTCACATAAATAAGTAAACATAAATGTAGAACTGGCGTCTGGTTTTGTGTTTGGGTTTTTTCAGAGGCTCATACAGCCAGTGTAGTGCTCTGGCTCCTATAAGAAGATGCCACCCAAATGTTCTCTTTGTACAGAATAAAATCTGCCTTACCAGATAACCCCCTTTATTCTCAGATTATAGTGCCATAAAAGAGGAAACCAATTTAAAGGTAACAAACTGATTTTTTGTTTGTATTCCTTTTTCTTTAAAAAGTTGTTTGAAATTCAAACTTCCTGTTTATTGATACAAAGTCCTCTTTTTTCTTAACACTGACTTCATTGACTTCTAGCTCCATTAAAAACAAAAGTAGGCCTATTATCAGTGTGTTTTTGTAACAGCAGCAAGGACCTATTAGTTCCCATTGTTTTTATTTCCTGAAATAGTTCCTTGTTGCAACTGTGTAGGAGAAAAAGTATATTCTAGATAAATTTCAAATTTTAGTCTTTCATCAACTCCTATTGAAAACAGCCACATTTTCTATGATTAAATCTAATGACTGATTCTTACATGAACTGGATTTTTGGACACAGTTCCAAAGACTAGAGGAAGCTGTGACAAAAAATGAACAGGGTAATTTTTAAAACCATGAACATTATTTTGATGCTACCTGCTACTAAGGGTAAAGACAAAGCTACAGACCAAACAACCTTGGCCCCGTTGGCACAGGACCTCAGTTTACACTTCCATCAGAAAACTACTTCCAGTAATTGCATTTTAGAGTACAGAATGATTGTTTTTTTCCCCACAAACAGCAACAAGTTCTCAAAGAAACTTAAAGGTAAAATTCACTTTGCCCTTCAGAATTTCTGCATCTTAATAGGAGCACCACTACATGCTGAAGAAATAAGCAACTTAAGAAACTTGCTGTTTCTTACCTGTAAATCTAGCTCTTGACATCTTTGTGCCAACTCTTCTTTTTCTGCTAGTGCTTCCTGAAGATCTTCCAAAGCTTTTTTAAGCTTTTAAAAAATAAGATAGTCAATCATTCTGGCCCACATCCAAATTACTAGTAGTTCTAGCTCCCAAAACATCTCTGTTCATTTCGCTTGCATTTTAAATAACTACTGCACATAGTAAGTAAATTATTGAAACTCAGAATAACATCCAGATTCCACAAAGTTTAAGACTACTTGTGTTCCAAAATCAAATGCAGGAGCATGTGTGCTGCCACAATTTCAAAATCCCTGCTTGTTAAATCAAATGCCCTTCATCTCAGAACAGAAAAAGCAATGCTTCTTTATGGGCAGATACTTTTAAAGACAACTTGATCTTATGTGCAACATCTTGTAGTAGTCAGGTTATCAAGAATTTTCATGATTCCTTAAAAATAATCTGAATTGTTTAGTCTAACATGGCTGAGCCTTGATCTACCCTTAGTATTTCTTGCAATGTAGGTCTGCAGTGGCCAGTTTTACCCCATCCAGGAAGATGACACAGCAGCATTGCATTTTTTCTTAATAAGTTATAAAATAGCACAAAAAAAATCACTGAATTAGTGCTGAAAAAAGCATCACTTTATTTTAAATTCTCTGCCTACATCAGTATGTTGCTCTGCCCTTTGTGAACCAGTAATGGTTTAATCAGACCAAGCAGTTTGTAGAGAGAGAAGCACAGTTACTGCTGAGGTTTTTAGGTTTTTTAACTTTTAGAATTAGAGCAGCCCTCCTCTTCATTTAAGAGATGGCAAGATACCAACTTATTGTTCAGCCTTGAACTACAAGAGCAACAAAGATTAGGCAGTTACCTGCTGTTCCATATCACTTGATGCATCAGTTGTGGAAGGTCCTGTTACTTCCTTGCTCATGAGCTACAGAAAGAGGCCACAGGAAAAGAAGGTTAAATTAGAGGTTAAGTATCTGTAAATTCACTGTCGACTGACTACCAACTGTATTTTCCATCATGTCCTTGCATCCCTTCACTATATCAAAACAGACTAAAAATAATTAAAAAAACACTTCATGGTTGGTCAATATTTAAACAAATCTGAAATAAGATGACGTTTTTTTCCCCCCCTTCCCAAATTAAACAAGTTAGCAGTAACATGTAATTGGATGATTTGTCTTCTCTTGAAGTTATTGCTACCCCTAGTGAAGTTAAAAAGGGGTGAACCAGACGACAGGATTTCACTTAACTGATTTAATAATTACACTTATTTGTGTCACATTCATGGCTATTAAGCATACAACAGGAACATTAAAACAGCTCTCAGTGATCTCCAGTACAAAGATGTACACAGTATGCTTGTCAATAATTAAAGGGCTTTACTTCTTTCTCAGGATTTACAGTATTATTTCTAGGCTTGCTTCAGAAAAAAGGTTTGATTAGTCAGAATACAATAAAAGAGGCTTATGGATGTATTTTTCCCAATAGGGAATTTATAGCTTTAAAGACTGTATAGTAAATTTAAAGCTAAGTTTTAAAGCCTATTACCAACTCTCCACTGTTACCTTGATGAGAGTGCAATTATACATTACATTTTCTTCAACAAAGTCACCATGTTGGTTTTGCCTCCCCTCCACACTCTGTGTCAGTCCTGAAGCTCAGAGATGTGACTGCAGAGCTATGCTGTGAGGTGGGTCACTAAGGTGATCCAGCTAAGAGCAAATTAAAGAGAGCAGGGAGAGCAAGAATAGAAGAGGTACAGCTGGCAGTTTGAAAATCAGATGCTGGAATGATTTGCCAGAACAGTGTAGCCTCTCACACAGTTACATTCAGCTTAACTTTGGGTCTAAGACTACAGCACTGGCTACAGAAATTTCAGAACCTGACTCCAGTTTCATCAGCAGTTGGCAACTAGATACATTTCTTGTGTGAAACAGCAAATCTTGAACATGTACTGTCTCCACAAGTTGTGTGTTTCAGTATGCAAGACTAAAACTCAAAACCCATTGGTTGGGGTCAGAGGCCTCTTTCCTGATCCTCCCAGATAATTTAGGGCAATACTTAAATTCTTCCAAGCTCTTTGCTTGAATGAAAGAATTCACAAAGATCAACAAATGGATGTCTGGACTTCTCAAGTGACAGCACTAGGGTATTAATTATTACTTACCTCTTGAATGGCAGTCATGACAACATGCTGAACAGATTCTTCAAGGGTCATGATATTCTGTATGTGTTCTGTGGAAGAGAATTTGTAGTGACTCATGACAATGTTCATCTTAATGCATGGAGTAACCTGATGTACTGTTTGGAGACAGATATGGAAGAAACTACTCTCTATAAAGCTTCTTCAAAACAGGTAGTACACTATTTATACAGAGCACCACCTTAAACCAACAATGGTATGTCCAGTAATATGGTAGATAAGCACAAGAGATTATAATCTCTTAAGTGAACAAATTTATATTATGCATAATAGAGCAAGAACATTTAAAGACATTTGTATTTACATGGTTCTCTTTCCACACATACATCAATGTGTGTATATACATAAACTTTATCAAAGAGTCAACAAGCTTAAAATTGAGTTTATAAATAAAACTTAAAGGAAAAAAGGAATTGCTAGGATCATCATTCCCAGTGCAGCCTGACAACTGACTTCCCAAGCACTCTTTGATGCAGTCAGTTCAGACTACCTAGGAATGACACATGTTCTACCAACAGAATCACTCTGAGGATTGCTCAGCCACCTGAGCATGGGGCATTAGCTCAGGCCAGGGGAGAAACAACTCAACTAATTCAGTCTTCAGCCTCTGCAGATAGACAATAGGCACTTTCTATTAAAAGTTTTAAATTTAATTTCCTTGATTTGCCTTTGAATAGTAAATTTTAGGTCTTGGCACATGTTTTAACAAGTACAACCAACCCACACACTTCAGGCTATTTTTTAAACCTGCCCTGAGCAAAGTTAAGAGTTTTATTCACAGGCATTTCCTGTAGATTTTCTACTTTTAAGTGAGGTCTGGTTTCAGACCAAGCATCCAACATTTTAGCAACATATAGATAGGCAGGAAAAGTCTGTACATCTCTTCCACTGGTAACAATCACCTGAAGCAGTCTGCTGTTTGTTGAACAGATTAAGGGACTGCATACCTTGTTTCCTTTCACAGTTGACTGCACAACCTAAAATAAGCTGGAGAAGCCTTCCCAGTTCAGTAGGATCTGAGTTCTCAGATATCCGGTTTAAGTCTGGAATAAGCTCTTCTGAAATCTGCTGACCCAAGAACTGGAAAAAAGAAAATGGAGAAAGTGAACTCTTACTTTGCAACATGAAAACCTGGTATCATGTAAGAAATCTGGACTCAGTAAGGCCTCCAGAGAAAACTGTCTATTAGTAAGTTTGTTACCCTAAACAGTATAGAAAGATTTTAAACATTAAACATGGAGATACACATTAAAGATACCAGTTTATGAGGGAGCGCACAGCATTATCAGATTAGGAAATCTGAAGAGGTCTGATAAAGCAGATGTTCTTAACTCATTTGTTACAGGGCTCATTTGAAACCTGGACATCACACTGTGCCTCTCTTGGGCTACCAAAGACCACTTAGACAAGAAAAAGCAACATTAGTAAGTTAAAAGTTCTTGGATAGACTTCAAATATGAGGGAATTAATTTATTATACCAACATACTTTAAAATAAATAAATATGCTTCCAAATTCAGTTGCTCCCTAATCCTTCAAAAATTTCCTGCTAAGCCTAAAGAAACTCTGCTTCTGGGCTTGCCAGAGAGCCTCAGTTCTGGCAATACAGAAGGTCCTGGCACTTGGTATCACAGCTAAGCCCAGGTGAGAGCAGGAAGCCATAACATGATCCGGCAAGTTTTTCCTATCGCACCCATTACATAAATGTATCAAGCTCCATATATAACCCAGCATTTATTTTATAAAACTCAAAACACAGCACCCTTTTATGGCTACCATGCTCATCCTGCACAAGACAGAAACAACTATAAGCTTTACTGTCTCCAGGAGGATTCGTAATTTACTTCCCAGCTTCCAAGTGAGTACCATAAAACCTAGACTAGGGCTGACAAATCTGTTATGTTGTCTAGAAACAGGATAAAACTTCACTTGACAAGAGCAAATATGAATGCACACTCAAAAGTCAGCAGGATTCTGCAGCTCAGTCCTTATGACATTCCTCTGGGCATTGACAGAGCCACGGTTTCTAGATTATACTCCAAGAGTTGTATCCAGAATACACCTGCTCAAAATAATCTTATATTCACTCAGACCCTCCCACTTAACCAGATAATTATAATACATTTTCTGCCAAAAATGTCCTTAAGGTAAACTACTTTCCCAGGAAAAAAAAAAAAAGGTAGGTGAAGGGGGACAATAATAATTTTTAAGGATTAGAACAACAACAAAAAATTTCTATACCTCATGATAGTAGTCCATAATTCCTTGTAGTATCTTCTTCAGATTACTGGACTAATTGTTGTACATGAAAGATAAGGTTATAGGATTTTATTAAAATTCTTAATTTCATTAAAATTAAATAATAAATTACAATAAAATGCTTACATAGCAGCTCTACAAGAGGACACTAAAATAACAGGGGAAGATAAATGTAACAAAAAAATGCCCATGCAACAATGCTGAAAGGCACTTCAACAATCAACAGACAGTTCAAGCTCATTTCAAACAACTTTTAAAAATCTGAACTTAATTCTGTAGTTTTTGGACTGCTCAGGACAGACATCATATATCCATCCCTACAGACTTTCACTAACTTCTGTTTTGAATACCTTTATTCTCCAGTTGTCACCAACATCATCTTTAATGCGACTTAGCCAAGTTGCATCAAACCAAGCAACATCTCTGAAAGAAAATTACATTATTAAACATCAAGAAGCCCACACTGAAATAAATAACAGATTCCTGGCATTAAATCATCAGATGTCTGACTAGAGTGTCTAGTAAGCAGGAATTCCTGGAGCCTGCAAGATATACCTCTGTCATAGGAAATTTCCAACCTGATGGCTGAGTTAGGACAGCACCTTCCAGGGCAGGAAGAATTTCTGTTGAAGCTTGAGGTTGCTACAGCTGGGAGCACGAGGATGTGAAGGCTTCTGTCATGCTGAATCTTTATACCAGTCAAAGTGATCATAAAGGTGTAAAAAAAAAATCCTTTTTTCTTAGAGCTGATGTTAAGTTTGATACCTACTCTTGTACATCTGCATTTTCCAACGCTCACTATAATTCATCAAAAGTCCTTGTCAAAAAAAACAACATCTTAAACTTCTGGCACTTCATCTCTTTGGTTCCCCTGGGCAGCATAATTCCCACTTTGCCCACCCATATAAGGATGAGCTGCTGAGGGAATTGTTTACACAGACTGAGCTGCGAAGCAGAACAATCACGGCATATCTAACAATATCTTAACTCTTACACCATATTGTTTATTCACTGGTCTCAAAGCACCTAATAAAAGACAATTATTATCCCCACTTGCATATCAACCACCTTGGTAGTAAAAAGTTTGCCCAAAGCTTCATACCACAGACACATGGGAGGTGACCCTCAGTGAATCTTCACTAAGCAATACTAACTCATTTTTCTGCCATGCCCCAGGAAAAGAGTGAACTGTCTTTACACAGCACTCCTAAAATATTTTCAGACAGGGGAGTTTCTGGGTTTGGGTATTTTTAGGGAGGGAGGTTGGTTGTATTTTTGGGGGCAGGGTTAGTTTAAAGTACTTTTTTGGTAATCAAACATCTAGTTGGAGCAGGAGATGGTAGTTCAGACTTCCTTTCTTATCTGAGCCAACTACAACAATAAAATTAGTGATGACTTGTAGCATGA